CGAGGAACAGCCTATTCGGGCCCCGAATATGGTAGCGGCACGGATTAATTCCGTCGCGTCGTTCATCACTGCCACCTGCATGCCCGCCGTTTCGCGAAACAGAGGAACAAAAGGAGACGCGCGACAGAGACGCAAAATCGGCCATTAATCACTCATTCGTTCGCCGGTCCTCCTCTCCCTTTTTCTACGGGCGACGACAACCACGCGAAAACGGGCCGGCCTCTCCTCTTTTTACCTTTCGCCGGTGCGACGTACTGGAAATCGTGTAATATTTGCTCGACGATGCTCTCCGCGTCGCGTTTGTTCCTCCCCGCGTTCCGCGCGAAAAAGAACGCCGCCGATATCGCGCTCGCAGATCGATCGATCCGACGCGTTAACGCATTGAGCGCCGGCCCCGCGATAATGCGTGATATTTAATCTATCGTTTAATTGCTAATCCTACGTTCATGTAACATTTTTGATATGTATAACACAAATTCAAAGTAAAATTTACAAAATCGAATTCCTTATACTCTTCCGTAAGTTAGAAATTTTGGTTCAATCGATGTTTAACCCTTAGCACTCCACATAGTTTTCTGATACGTCCACTGAAAATTAGAAATGCTATAACGTTTCGTCGATCTGTTATTTTCCTTCTTAGCACAAAATTTGCATATGCGGAAAATCGAATAATTTTATGGTAGTTTCTTGAAGATTCATTAAAATATTTAATATTATAACTGGTGCAATATTGGAGCCTACAGAGTTCAAAGGGTTAAAACTATCAATATAATCACCGAAGCTTGCGTTTTTAGTAGCTGAAATTTAGCCGACGTTCAATGTAAGTCGTCGTTACGCTTCGCCTATCCGGAATGCATGACTCAACTGCGTTGCTATCTCTTATACGATGATTCTGGAATAAAGAATTTATTACAATCCATCGAGTCCAAAGTGAAGAATCAGCGATCGGCGGGCTAAGAGTTTTCCGCTGTTTCCATAGAACACTAACATTCGGTTAAGTTAATCCATTAGCAGTTGCCGGGAGGGTTTCCCCGATTTCCGGCAAAGTTGCCGAGAAACAGGGACTCGATACGACTTGTTAGAGAAGTTTCGCGCCGTGTCTTGTCGGGGTCTGTCGCTGGCCGGCGACGAAGGGAAATTGAAGAAAAGGCGGGCTGGACTACCAGTCAACCGAGACCTTTCCTGTTAACATAGGAATAGCCGATGATAATCCTGTCTCAGAAATTTCTAGTCGATTGCGAGCCAAAGGGACTCATACTTTAACCCTTTGCGGCCGAAGATTCTTTGAAACGTACAAAAGCTTCAGGAGATAAAGTTAAATTATATATCGATTATTTAACACTAGGTTTACGGAACGCGTCAAATTGACGCATATTGGATTTTACAAATATTATTTTGTAAATGTTTACGGCGATTTTGATTTATGCGATCACACTGTACCCCAATTACCTACTATCGAATCTCCAGTTTCCACAATCTAATAAACGAGCATCAATTCTTTTAGGAATAATAGAATGAAGACAATAAATGCCCGTAAACCTAGTGTCAAATAACAAAAAAAGGAAACTACATACTGATCTGTTGCTGTTCGAATAATTCAATCATTCGATTGCAACTCAGTCATCCAAGAATGAACATTTCATCCGAAATGTCGACATTCGTCGGCAAAGACTTAACAAACCTATTAGTAGAAACGAGTTAACTCGTACACTCCATTTTGTCCTGTCGCCGGAAGAATCTCGCTGCCAGACATTTTCAAATGATTCAATCTTTCGAAACCCATAGAATTCATTTGCCATTGATCAACGCGCCCGGTTAACGAGTGAACGTTCCCCGTTACGCGCGAATTACACGGAATTGTCGCAAAGTTTGTTTATCGACAGCAGATTGCTCGTTTCGATAGGTCGTCGTTTTCCGCGCGTTCTCCGGGCGGCCCGGCTGAATGCGACGTTCCAGACGTGACACGCTCGTGACGCGCTATTTTTTAACGCGGGGCGACATTCATTAAACTGAAAAGGATTCTTTTTCCCCCCTCCCTCTCTCTCCCTCTCGCCGTTCATTCAGCGACCATCCCCGCTCGCTCGCGAGATAAAAGAATCGCGAGAACAAGCGGGGGCCTGCGCGCGGTGAAAGCGACGAACGGAAACGCCGACGGCTACGATAGGATTAACGTCGTATGTTGTTTTAATCACTCGCGCCGGGTTTATCGGGCCGCGGCCTCCCCGTCGGCCACGCACGTCCCGCCGAAAACGAAATTGGAATGCCTCGACGGACCGACGAACGGCGAGGAGAATCGCTTGGCCGTTAGAAAATTCGCGCGTCGGTCGGCCGGGCCGGCCCGTTTTATTTTGAGGGTAGTTTCCGCTTATTAGAACCGCGAGTAATTATTCCCGGGCGTGTCTGTTTGTCCTCCTTAATTAAAACTGCCTCGCGGCGCTGGCCCGCCCACTCGCGAAACCAAAAGAAAAGATATCATTCTTCTCGCCCTACGAAAAAGAGGCGGATGAAAGTATTCAGGGGTTGCATTTCGCAGCGCGGTCCGCGGTTCAGCGGGCCACGAGCAACATTCCGGCCGAGATGCTTCCTCGTTTTGAAATACAGAGACCTTTCACCCCTGTCACCGGGCACGGAAGTCTTGATACCTTTATAATCATGGATCGAAGTCGAAACGTAACGATCGTCGAGATGTTCTCTAAGCTACTCGTTGCACGAATTCTATTTTCGTCATCATTGCTGAACGCTCGCAATTACCATTCGATGAGTCCCAAACAATTTCTCTAGACGTCTAAAAAGAATTCTCGCGACTACCACGTCGCTTTAGCTTGCACTCCAAAGGTGCCTCTCAGTCATCTGATTGGTGCATCAGAATTGTAAAATTTCGTATTTGAAGTCTCGAGTAATCTGTCGATACCTGTCATGTGGAAATAAAGTACCATTGTTCCCCTTATTTTGTGAATAGATTCCGCGTTAAGTTAGTTTTAACACGTTCACGCCGGCGTGTACCATTGATAGCTCATTAGACGGTGTAGCATCAAATATGTCGTCAAGTGGTTTGGTAATTATCGATCATTTCGATATTTTCATCAATTCGGAGCATTCAGCCGCCAAATGGGAAAGAGTGGAAATTCCAGCGGCGGTGTGAACGTGTTAAAAAACGTCATCTGTGTCTCATGAAAATAAATCGAACATTTCTAGTGACAAATTGTCGAGCGCAAAGGGTTAGCACGGTAACTTCTCCCGCGACACGGGGACGACACGGCAACGACACGGCAGTCCGCGGAAACGACGCGTATCTCTGTTTCCTCCGCGTGCCGTCCGGAGGGAGTACTTCGCCGTAAAAAGGAACAAGAACGGCCGGGACGGCTGAGTGAAATCCAAGAAAAGCGTCGTAATGCTTTTCTCCGTGGCTCGCGTTTATTCCGTCCGCCCCGTTCCCGGCTCTCGAAGAGAGGGAAGAAGTGTCTGCCGGATAGGGGAATGATTTAGCAACCCCCCCCGGTTGAGTCTCAGCGAGAAGTGGCCTGGTTGAAAACCGGGTTGAACGAACCCTCGCGAGCCTGGCCACCTACGTCGACGCGGGGATCTACATGAGAATAAACGCGCAGCCCCGGCCACGCCGCGCCGCGTCGCGCCTTCTGACCGTACCACGATGATAAATGGTGCCATTTTATGGGCGACCATACACGCTCGACCCCGCGCCATGAATGCGAACACACTAGACGGCCCGGGACACCCTGCGCTAGCCACGTGAAAATTATACCCCATAAAGTGCCGGTACCTGTCAGCTTCGCGTCCGTCCTGACGGCTGATACACGATCGAGAGGCGATCGAGGGTACTCGAAGAGGTTCTTGCGTTTGATTTAACGCTGAAAATGCATCTCTCGCGTTCTATCATTGCCAGGCGCGCCGGAGTTGTTACCGGTGTCTTGGCAGCCTCCTTCCAAGGTGCCGCGAGTTTTGTTGCGGTAATTAGTTGGAAATTAGTAGCATACGAAGGCTGACAGTCCTCCGAGAAACTGCATCTCGACAGACGCGCGCTCAGAGTTTCTATAGAAGAATTCAAGAAAGTCACCTTGCCGACTCGACGGTTCTAAAGAGGAGAAGTCATTCAAACAACTTTGTTACTGGCCGTGGGAAGCCTAAGAAGGAATTCAGCTGAACTCGGCGGACGAAGGTCCGACCGAAGCGTCGATCGATTTGGAATCGTCCTCGGACTAGTCGAACTAATAGCGTCGGTTTATTGTCTCTTGATTCTTTCCGGTTGCTCCCTATGGAAGTTTCGAACAGTCCCGCGAGAGGCCAAGACCGATCCAGCTTATTTGCTCCCGCGGACGCGGCGTCACCTTGACGATCGTTTTTCCGCCGAAGACGATCCGCCGAGATTCCCCTTTCACGGGCCGGTGACCAAAGAGCGCGAATCTTGGACATCCTTGTGCGAGCCAGTGATCGCCGGTCCGTCGATTATCGGATAACCAAGCGTGTATCGAGCCTTATTGTCGGTGCATAAGGCCGGCAGCTCGCCGAGTTGGACATCGATGTCGGATATAATTATCAGCGAAGGTGCGGTCTAACGTTGGCGCGGCCATTACGGCAACAAAGATTGATGGTTGCCGGCGAGGTCGCGCCGTTTGCGGACGGCAAACGTAATTTGCGAAAAGCTGCCGATGGACAGTCGAAGAATCCATTGGAAATAGCAGTGACAGGATCGCTTGACCAATGAGTTCGTCGACCCTGTCCGCTCTTCTTCCGACAGTCCCATGACGTCTGAGTCGAGCACGCTCCGTCGATCGCTTGTACTCGTTAATCGAATCCTCCTACGAGAGGATTTATTTCCATTAGCTGCCTCCGAACAAATGTCCCCTAGATTAGGGGATGATGCCGGCGATTTCGGGGGAAAGTTTGGGGAAGATTACGGGCCGCGCAATTTCGCGGCGAAGTTCCCAGACAAAGCGTTTACCCGGATGCGCGTATAACGGGAATCTTTCTCGTTCTGTTTGCAGGGTACGAAACTATGGATTATTATGGAGTACTTGGGTGGCGGCTCGGCCCTGGACTTGATGAAGGCTGGTAGCTTCGAGGAAATGCACATCGCGGTGATATTGCGCGAGGTGCTCAAAGGGCTGGATTATCTTCACAGCGAGCGGAAGCTTCATCGTGATATTAAAGGTGATTCTTCCGCATGAAAAGTCCCGAGAGACTGTTAACGCCTTTTAACCTGTTAGCCGGACGATCTTTCGATCGTGAATAATCGCCCGGTGGTTACTCGAGATGTGTATAATTATTCTACGGGAGAATCATAGATTGAGTAAATAAGGGGACAAGCGAGCGAAGCTTAAATTCACTCTCTTTGACCCGGTTAACGATTTACTTTAGCTCTCGGGAAAATAAAACCGGCCTGGATTCATTTCGTTCTGTTCACGAAACAATCTCGCTAATCATTTTAATCTCGTTTTAAAGCGGCGAACGTTCTGCTGAGCGAAATGGGCGACGTGAAGCTGGCCGACTTCGGTGTGGCCGGTCAGTTGACCAACACGACCAGCAAACGAAACACTTTCGTCGGGACGCCGTTCTGGATGGCGCCGGAAGTGATCAAACAGTCCGCCTACGATTCGAAGGTAATTACGCTGGGCCAAGGTGAACGTGGTCCTCGGGAGTAGGCGTAGTTTTTAATCCCGGCAGATTCGAGACCGCTATTTCCTCCAATCGAGTCACGTAATCCGGTGGATTCCATTTGGAAACTTTCCTCCCCTATCTTCGCTCGTGAACCTTCGACAACAGATTTAACCTTCGTGGAAGTCTGTATTGATCCAAGATTTCGAGAACTTCGTCTAACTCCTCGGCTAATGATATTTAATTAATTTCCCGTAGTAAACGTTGCCTCTGAGCGATGAGGATTTTGAGAATTTTGTTATGATAGATTTGAATACGAGTCTAACGTATCGCGAAAGCGTTGAAATATGTCAATGGAGTGACTGGAAAATCTATGTCTAACGTTCTGTCGGCCTCCTCGAGGCACCCGGAATAGCCGCGGATCGGTCACGCAGTCGTTAGCGTCTGATTAGCGCCTCCCGAGCAGTAAAACTGAGAACGCCTTGTTCCGCAGGCTGACATTTGGTCGCTGGGCATCACGGCGATCGAATTGGCCAAGGGAGAACCGCCGAACAGCGAGCTACATCCCATGAGGGTGCTCTTCCTCATACCGAAGAACAATCCCCCGCAGCTAACCGGAAATTACACGAAGCAGTTCAAGGAGTTCGTCGAGGCCTGTCTGAACAAGGACCCCGAGAACGTGAGTCGATCTCCGTACAGCTACGTGCTCGTATCGCTCTGTTAATTCTTGTCCCGGCTCCGTACTTAGCGAACAATCTTCGAGCCAGTCGGTGTTTCGAACAATCGCGAGGCGAGGCTCTGTCGTTGTCACTTGCCGACTCGAAAGTTTGGAGAAAGCTCTGGGCTCGAGCCATTATGTCCTGAATTACACCACTTTCGTTCCGTTGCTGCAGTTTTCTAGATGCTTAACTTAAAACCGTCGAATTATTAACGCATTAGCGTGCACTGTTGTTGAATTAGAGTTCATTAAAGTTCGCGCGAAGCGTTGCGTTCGAAACTGATCCATCATGGAAGATTCAAGATCGTATCTCGTGTCACGCGAATTCCCCCGGTCCTCGTTACCAGCGTAATAATCATTCTTCCGGTCGTTTCAGAGGCCAACAGCGAAGGAGTTGCTGAAGTTCCAGTTCATCAGGAAGGCGAAGAAGAACTCGTACCTGATCGACCTGATAGACCGGTACAAAAAGTGGAAGTCCCAGCGCAGCGAGGAATCCGAGACGGAGAGCGAAAATTCGGACTCGTGAGTGTCGCGCCCATCCCCTATTCCCGGCGACCCGACAGTCCCCGCGAATTGACGTTCTCGCTTGAGGAACCGAGCGATTCCGAGGATCCAAATGAGTGTTCGTTTCAGGGAAGAATCGAAGCAGGACAGCGACATGGACGAGCCGTGGATAATGACGGTGAAAGGTCCTCACGGGAAGGGTTCGGTGGTCCCCATGCTGCCACTGGACGAGCAGCCGGCCTCGTTGACTCTGACACACACGACGAACCATAATCAGCAAGCGAAGCCGCAAGCGAACGGAGCCTCGAGATCCCCGCCGAAGGATTCCACGTTGAATCATTACAGGAGCGAGTCGAGGGACTCCATCCGCGATGGTCAAGCGAAGCACACGCCGGTAAGCTGCTAGCCCCGCGAAACCGCGATTAAACCCCACCCACCCATCGGAGGCTTCGAGGTTTCTGTTCTTTCCGCCGCAACGCTAAGTCACAATGAGCCCCGCGCAGCATGAAACGATAATTCCCTCGTTCCCATGGCGCGAGTGCAGCGTCCGATCTCTGAGGTTTTCATTGAATTTTTCAGTCCCGACCGCACGAGGCAGCGCCACCGCCGCCGGTCGACACACGAGAGAAACGAGAGGATCGCGATTATAGGGACTTCGATCGGGATTCCTCGATGAGGGAGTTGAAGGAGAGCCGCGAGGCCAGAGACAGCAGGGACAGGGGCGAAACTCGGGACAGAGGAGACAGAGGGGATAGAGGAGACAGAGGAGACAGAGGAGACAGAGGAGACAGAGGAGATAGAGGAGATAGAGGAGACAGAGAAAGATGGGACAAAGATGTGAACTCGAAAGAGTGGAGGAGGCCACTGGACCACAGGCCGGCCGAGAAACAGAGACCGAGGAGCTCGCAGGAACTGAAGCATCCGCGAAGCGCGGTCCTGTCCGGTGTCGTATTACCTCTCCTATCCGAGGTTAGTATTCAGATGAAGAATACAATTCTACCATTCCTGGCGAAAATTGTTCCATCAAACGAACCCGTCCGTCATAAACGTTACCACGGAATTGGACGCGGTAAGCGTCCATTTCCTGCTCAGATCTTGTCCATGATTCTGATCGAACGCTTTCCGCCAGAGGTGGTAGATAAGTCAACTACCATTGGGGGCGCGGAAGATTAGATCTAGTGTAGGCCTCTCGAGGTAAGCTCGTGTACCTTAACACGCGAGGATCCTCCCCGCGACCAATAACACGCAGGCGAACCTCTGGATCTAATCTCCCCGGAGCCCATCAGCGTCTCCTAATGCCTCGGTAGTTGCGTGGCGAGGCCCGCACCGTAGGAAATAAAGATAGCACGGTAATAGCTCCGGAAGGCCAGACGGAGGTGTACCTTTTGTTTCTCCCTATTTGTCGCAGCTTCAGCGGAAGCATCAATATTCGACAAGAGACAATAACGGCGAGGGCGGAAGCAGCATTAGCAGGAACGGCGGCGCGATCGAGGAGTTGCGCAGCGCGTTCGAGACGGCGGAACGCAATTCGCCGGGAATGGCCGAGGCTCTCGTCAGGGAGGTCCTCAAGTCTTTACTTCCTGCCAATCATTCGGAGAGTCGTTTGTCCATGCTGATGGAGAAGGTCAGTCTCAGGTAATGATCCTACTCTTTCCATCAGCTTTATCGTTTGTAC